CTTTGAGCAATTTACTTAGCACACATTTATGATATAATATCCTTAGCCAAAAAGGCTTTTTAAAAATTTCTAAAAGTGCTTATTTGCTAATATCATGTTTCTCTCTTGAGTTTAATAATGACAAATATCAAGGGCTAGAAGTTTTAAGAGCTTCCAAATCGACAGAATAACTGTTCCAGAGCCATCAACTGTCACAAAGCACAGGCTACCTGCCTGCATGGGCTATGCTGCCTGGCCACAGTGCTTAGTGATGCCCGCATATCAGCAGGGATCATGTCCCTGAAATCAGAGTATTCAGTGGGAGAAGGAGTACAGTGGGAACTTGCAAGAGGAAAATCTGCTACTATTCCAGAAACCACAGTTCTCTTCACAAGTTCTATTTGGGGGCTTCTGGGTGGCTCGGTCAGTTAAGTGTCTGACTCTTGATTTTAGCTCAGGTCATGATCTCACAATTTGTGAGCTGGAGCCCCGTGTCGGGCTCTGTGCTGTCCACGTGAGCCTGCTTGGGATTCTCTGCCTCCCCTCTTCTTTTCTGCCCATACCTTTTCGCTTAAAATAAATGCCCTTAAAAAAAAAAGTTCTATTTTGCACTTCTAAGATGTAGTTTCACTAACAAACATCGATGTTGAACTGGATTCACAATTTTTAAGAAACCTGAATTCCTAGATTTTACTTTGGCCTTTTCTTCATAGCATAAGAAGTACTTCTGAATACAGTTCTTTTGGTTAGAAATGAAACCACAGGTCTGTGCCACCTGTTTACAAATACCCAGTCAGCTTGCTCTGGCCACCTGATTGCTATGCCATTTGGGTCCTTATTTTTCTCTTTCCATTTCTTTGCCTGTGAGCATTTGAAAATTTTTTAAATGTTGGTTTACTTTTGAGAAAGAGAGAGACCATGAGCAGGGGAGTGTCAGAGAGAGAGGGAGACACAAAATCCAAAGCAGGCTCCAGGCTCTGATCTGTCAGCACAGAGCCTGACATGGGGCTTGAACTCACAAACTGTAAGATCATGACCTGAGCTGAAGTCAGACACCTAACCGACTGAGCCACCCAGGTGCCCACTTTGCCAGTGAGCATTTGAAACCAGCTCTCAGATTTGAAAAGAACAGATAATGGTAGTGTGTCCTTAAGAACCTAATATTAATATTCCCAGATGAACACATGCAACACTTATTTCTTTGTAAAAGCAAGTGAATTCATATTAAATTAGAAGGTCATAAGTTATGTTACTATAGAAATAAAAGAATGTAAGTGGGTCCTAATGAAAACCAGTATGAATTCATTTCATTCTGTCTGGTAAAGTAATTGGCATAATGTGTTAGTAAATTATATTATTTGAAGAAAGCAAAAAATGAAAATTGAATATTGCCACATATTAGGGGTTTCTTTCTTTCTTTTGAATATGCCTATCTCCTCTCTCTCTATCTTATCTAAAACAGGGGGCCTCTCAGTGTGATTTCTACAGTAGATTAAACACACCCTGCCTCTCCCTGCTCAGACAGACCAAGTCCAAATCTTTCGGGGCTATGTCTGGGAATCAGCCTTTCAAAGAGTTCCCCAGATAATTCTTCGTGGGAAGGCAAATGAAAATTTGAGAATTAATCATGTTCTAAGGAACAAAAATACAAAGGCTATGTGTGTGTGTTTATGTGTGTGTGTATTACATATATATACGTATGTGTATGTAAAATTTCAGCTGAATCTCTGATTGCGCAGCTCTCATGAACTTGTGTGTGACCTTCCACTGAATATCCCACATCCCTTTGAGATACATGCGGATACTGTGATGGTGAGATTTTGAGCTAAAAAGGAAATCTGTTCAGTTCTTACAACCAGTTGTAGTCTGAACTCATGAAGAGTCCATACACTGTGTTTCTTTTTGAAGACAATATGGATTAAGTAGCTACTATAAAATCACTTCTATAAATACCGTGAAATGAATCTCTTACTAAGGGGGTCCTTTGCTCTCATGGCCGGTTCCCTCTGTCTGAGAAACGCATGGATCTTCCTGCATCATGACTTTCTCTGACCTTAGGAAGTTTTCTGCTGAAATGCCAGAGAAGCAAAAAGAACTTTCTTGGCCACCTTATCAAAACAGTATGTCCAGCACTTTGTCTGCTGTCCCCTTACCCTGCTTTACTTTTCTTCAATATCTTTATCTCTATCCCTGTTTGAGTGTGATGACTTATTTTCAAGGCCAGGGACCTTGTCTGTCATAAGCACCCCAGTGTCCTCAACTTCTTGAAGTTGCCCAGATACCTGGTACAAAATATATGTTGAAGGAACGAATCTGTTGATTAATAGGGATTAGCCTGGTACATATAAATGGCAGATACAAAACTTAGCATGTAAAAATTCATTTGCACATCAGTCTAAAAATGATAAATATTTCATATTGCTGGTCAAATGAAAACAGTGCCTGCTGGACTCTGACCCAATGAAACTGTGGTGTGGAGGAACGTGACAAGCCCTTTCCGCTACGTGATTATTTCTCCATGCTGCTGGCTTCCTCCTGGATTAGCAGATCGTTACTATCTGTAAATTTGCAGATTTAAGTTATGCTATATCCCTTTCTAAAAAGTATTGCACCTTTTCTTGGTCATTTCAGTCCTTCGTTTTGGACCTCATTCATTCCTGAAATCTTTGCAAAAAAAACATTAAAAGCAGTGCTAAGGTAGGCTTTAGGATTCTTGTTCCTTGCCTAGGACCCTCGGTTATTAATGTTTGAATCACGGTTCCAGTAAAAATTTCCTCATCCCCAGTAAATGCTGGTTATAGAGGATTTTCACACAGGCCCTCACATCCTGTCCCCACTCAGAGGACCATCAGGTAGTTTTGTTGCTTTCTTGGTGCATGTTTTTAGAGACTTAGAATCAAGGAGCATGATTAAGTTATAAGTCTAAATTGACCGGTGATGGTTAACTTTCATTTAACTATGTAACATTTGGATATAATGACTGTTTCCTTGATTTTAAGCTGGTAAGTCTTTGGCAACATGAACAAAGCCTCCAGAAGAAGGAAGAATTGACAGCAGGAACTCAAGACATATCATACTTAAATATATTCCTGGAAAATATGAACATGAGATAATATTCAGTGTGATGTTGGCATTTGATAAATCAGATGCAATGAACCTAATTATGCAAAACAGTTATTTTGAACCTATCATTCATCTGAACGCTATCTAAATCAGAGTTGATTTAATTACTAGCAAAGGGAAGGAACTTGCTTGCTCTATCCCTTCCCTTTCCCCAAAACACTCAGTAATTTTTATTAACACTGAATTCATGGAATTCTGAGCACTGCCCCAATCATTCAGAAATGCTGTTTTGTTTACTTAAATTGAAAACAGCCCTGTGTAAGGTATACCAGTAAAACATGTATTTATCTCCCAGCAATTTCAAAACTTTGTAATGGGCTTTTCCTCAAATATACTTGATGAGACTAGTACAGTGCTTGGGTTACATGATCCCAAGGAAGCAGTACAGAGTCACTGAGCTTTGAAGATCTTGGCTCCAACATGGTCACGGGTGAAAGCCTTGGACGGGCACACAGACCTAGAGCTGCCCACAGACACCACCAAAATCAAGGAACTCCAAAACCCTGTTGCTTTAGGATGGAATAGAGAGCTCCAAATTTGGGCTGTTCAGAGGCACCTGACAGTTAAATCCCAGCATGCCGGGGCGCCTGGGTGGCTCAGTCGGCTAAGTGTCCGGCTTCAGCTCAGGTCATGATCTCGTGGTTCATGGGTTCGAGCCCCGCGTCGGGCTCTGTGCTGACAGCCAGCTTGGAGCCTGGAGCCTGTTTCAGATTCTGTGTCTCCCTCTCTCTCTGACCCTCCCCTGCTCATACTCTCTCTCTCTCTTTCTCTCTCAGAAATAAAACATTAAAAAAAAATCCCAGCATGCCACATGGGTATCAGCTATGAAGGGTTAGCCAAGGGGTCTGGCCCAACATCCGCTGTCAGCCTCATCGGTTCTTGTGTGTGTTCTGCACTCACCGCCGTTAGATAACCATGTCTCCTTGCTGCCCCACACCCTTCATTCCCCCCCGGGGCCCCCCACCCCGTCTGCCTCAGTGGAGAGGATGCTCCTGTGATTCTGACCATACCTCAGGCACCATATTGGCTCTCAGTCAATGTCTTCTTCTCCGTGTGTCAGCTTCACCTCTTAGCCCCCACGGAATGCTCTGTCCTCAGGTCCGCAAAGGTTCCCTGGTCCACAGCATTGCTCCAGAGTAACACCTCCTCCCATACAACACAACAAAATGACACAAATAAGGATTTACAAACACGACAAGGCGAGCGATGTGCACACTCAATGTATAAATTAAACCAGTTAGTGACAGCCACTCATACCTTATTTTTAGAGGAAGGTAGACTGAATGAGGGGCTTCGGTTTGGAGGGTAAGAGTAAAAGGAAATGTGACTTGAATACCTGTTTCTTTAAAATCTGCTTCTCTTAGGAATTTAGGCTGTTGTGAGTCCAAACATTTCCGTTCATTCATTGTCCGGGAAGAAACTGCTGAGAACGAATTCTGGCTCACTTTTCAGGAACAACATCAAGATGGGTTACCGCCATGGTTATTCGTTTGCTCATCATTTTAAATAATAATTTCGGTTGCAGAATTTAAGGTCCAAGGACTATGGGATAATGAGAGGTTTTTAGGTTTGAGCTGTTTGCCTGATTCCTTCAGTAAGGCAGACAGCCACATTCGTTAGGCCGAGAAAAACGAAGTTTCGCTGGCCCTGTTCAGGGTGGATTTATCTCAGAATCATCATCATCCTTATAGGGAGATCAGGTTTGGGAGCAAAGCAAGGCAGCTGGGTGATGCCGATAAGCCGATTAGCTTGACATATTGCTGCCATTTCATGCTATTCATTTGATTTTCTGCAGATTTCAACATTTCTGTGCAAAAAACAAATTCAAATATGTCTCTGATAAAACAAGCTGTCTGGATGTTGCTTGGGTCTTAATGTCCCCTATTTGTTTATTTCAGCTGGGTCCCGGGCCTCGTACAGCAGCCAGCACGGCCACCTGGGCCCAGAGCTTCGGGCCCTGCAGTCCCCAGAGCACCACATAGACCCCATCTATGAGGACCGTGTGTATCAGAAGCCCCCCATGAGGAGTCTCAGCCAGAGCCAAGGGGACCCTCTGCCGCCAGCACACACCGGCACGTACCGCACGAGCACAGGTGTGTATTCAGGGCCTACCCGCGTGGTCTGTGCAAAGTGGAGGGGGGCTCTGCCTGGGAGCTCATCAAAGGTGCACGCGCATGCGCCTCCACATCCTGTCTCCTCACCAGCATTATGACCTGCTTCTATCATGAATGTCTGGGATGATAATGAGAGAAACCAAATATGACTCATTAGCTCCTTGAGTCTCTTTTAAATGAAAGAAGTGTAACGGGGGTTGTAAGCTTATTTTGTCAAACAGGCGAATTGAAAGACGAGCTAATTTTTTGTGTGTCATTATTAACATACTTAATGAATGTAAGTACTCCAAGAAAGCGTAGTCATTCTGCAGGACAGAAAAGGCATATGTCTAACGCTGGTAAGTGTTCTTTCACAATACAGGCTACCTATCTGGCAAGCTTGGGGAAAACCTGCCTGTTTAAGAAAATGTCGCATATTTTGTAAGGCGAACTGAGACCTTACTTCATAAACACGATCAGGTCAAATCATATGAAATTACCATTTAAAGGTCAGATATTGACAATCGCATATGATTCAATCAACCATATAGCTCTCCTGGATTAAATACATATTTTGAATTGAACACGACCACCGGGTACACAAAGAAAGGCAAGCATGTTCCAGAATACGTGGTCATTTGCAAAATAACTGGTTAAATGTCATGCATTAATGTGCCAGAGAACATTCATCTAAGTATAAAATTGATATAATTAAGAGGTTGAGAACTGCACTTATTACAAAGCCTCACATTGCTAAGGAAACTTAGAAAATAGCATGTGGCTGGTTTGCATACAGCAACTGATAATGTGTTACCCTTGAACGGGGGGCTGAGGCGTGGGAACAGGGAAGCTCTGGTCCAGAACTTGGCACACAGGGCCCTGCAACTTCAGCCTGTTGTAACCTCCAGTTACCAGGAAGTAGCACTTCGCAATTTTGTTAACTGCATCATGATACTAAATTACATGTTTTGAAATCCAGACAAGTTAAGCTGCTTTTATGGCTGATTATTGATATTTACATTTCAGTATTTCCCTGCACCACAAGAAAAATGGCACAAATACTCTTTCTTTTATTTCTGACATCATAAATTCCATCCAACTTTAATAATACATCTTGGTTTAGATGAAAAAGAGTACTCAGTTAATCTTTTGTAAAAAATTTTTTTATAATGTTTTTTTTTTTTATTTCTATGAGAGAGAGAGACCCCTCTCAGAGAGGGGAGGGTCAGAGAGAGAGGGAATCACAGACTCTGAAACAGGCTCCAGGCTCTGAGCTGGCAGTCAGCACAGAGCCCGATGCAGGGCTCGAACCCACGAACCGCGAGATCATGACCCAAGCGAAAGTCGGACGGTTAACCGACTAAGCCACCCAGGCGCCCCTTAAATTTTTATTTATTTATTTTTTTATTTTATTTTATTTTTTTTTTTTTTGAGAGAGAGAGAAGGACAGCATGAGCAGCGGAGGGGCAGAGAGAGGGAGACACAGAACCTGAACCAGGTTGCAGGCTCTGAGCTGTCAGCACAGAGCCTGACACGGGGTTCGAACCCACGAACTGTGAGATCATGACCTGAGCCAAAGTTGGACACTTAACCGACTGAGTTCACCTAGGCGCCTCAGGAATACCCATTCCTCTGTCGGACTTCTTTCATTGTCAGCCTGCAAGAACCACTCCTATCTGAGTTAGTTGCTTGCATAATATTAACTAAGGTAATTTTATTTCCATACACCCTTTACAAAAGTCAAAGATTACCACCTCAGTGATGTTCAATATGTATTTTTCATAAAAACTGACAACAAAAGGGATTATGCATTCATACGCTCTTTGAATTATCCTTTGTTAATAAACTTCTGGGGGGTTCATAAAAATGTATCTACAATATGAAAAAAATACTTCTTTCTTCTTGTCCGATCAAAGATAGGGGAAGATGTTCACGCTTAAAACAAAACAAAACTAGTATTTTCTCTAAGCCAGGAGTCTGAAAACTCTCGCCCATGGGCCAAAGTCAGCTGCCCACCTATTTGATGAGTGCTCATGAGCTAAAAATAATGATTACATTTTAAATGGTTTAAAGTCAAAGACGATAATATTTTCTGATATGTAGAAGTTTAATGAAATCCAAATTTCAGTGTCTATAAATAAAGTTACTGGAATACAGCCACGCCCATTTTTCCTGTATCATTTCTAGCTGCTTCCACGCTGTAGCAGCTGACTTGAGTAGTTGTGATGGAGACCATCTGGTCGGTAAGGCTGAGAATATTTACTTTCTGGCCCTTGATGGAAAAAGTTTGCCGACCCCTGCTCTAAGCCATCAGGGGAGCACCGTGCTGAGTGAACGAACAAGGGTTTATCCTTCTTACAAGGGAAGCCGGCAGTGTCCTCTGAATGCATCAAGGAGAAAAACCTGTCTGCCTGGGTTTTCTCAGTAACAGCAATCCCTCCCCTGGCAGAGAGCTGCTGAGGTTGCGACATCCAGATGTCCAAGACCCCATACCGGCCCGCCCTTTTGAGCTTGAGGCACTTTGGAAGAAATCCGCTGATTTATGCAACAATATGGACATTTCCAGAAGTGCATGGATGGTCTTTGGGGATGCCAGGTGGGGAGAAGCCGCCTCTCTCCGGCTCCTAAGTATAAATCCACAGGCTCGCTCTCTCCTGCACCTGCTCGGGTCACTCCCTGTTTATGCACTTAATTCATTTCAAGTCCTTATGCTTTCTTAGCTAACCCTGCAACCCCAGGCACTGTCCCTCTCAAAACCCATATGTAAGAGAAAATGCCTTTAATGTGGGTATATGCCCTTTACTTATGAATTGTATACATTTTATACAATATTATTAAAGTATATCTAGTAAAAGTCAGGATTACAAATTAATACAAAGAAACATTCTAAGATTGCTTTATTATATCCAAGAAGTCATTTTTCGATAGTTTATGTATTTTTTTATTTTTAAAAAATTTGTTAATGTTTTATTTATTTCAGAGAGAGAGAGAGAGAGAAACAGTGTGAGCAGGGGAGGGTCAGAGAGAGAGAGGGAGACACAGAATCCAAAGCAAGCTCTAGGCACTGCCCAGAGCCTGACGCAGGGCTTGAAACCACAAACCGTGAGATCATGACCTGAGCCGAAGTCAGACACTTAACCGACTGAGCCACCCAGGCACCCCGATAGTTTATGTATTTTGAGAGAGAGGGAGACTGGGGAGCAGGCTCTACTCTGTCAGTGCAGAGCCAGAGGCAGGGCTGGACCCCACAAATCTTGAGATCATGAGCTGAGCTGAGATGGAGTATGGACCTTCAACTTCCAGGAGGAGGTGCCCCCAGAAGGTCATTTTTCACACCTTGTGGTGTGCACACCCCATTCTGGAGACTTCTCATGCAGAACTATGAGGGGCTTCCAGGCCCAGAGGAAATACCCCAGTTTCTTGTAAGGGTCTTATAGGGCCTCTTAGACACAGTATTCAGGGGCCACTGACTTTTGGCTTATTGTGGCTGAGGTGGTTTGAGCAACCAATCTTATGTCTCAGCCCTTGAGTAGCAGGCCACTGGCTGGAGTTCTTTCAGCTTGACCCCTAAAGCATTTCCAGATGTTACAACGAGGTGATGGGCTCAGGGAATTGAAAGTCATTTGCTCTTGTTCACATCAACCTTTAGGAATGAAGGCAAATGTACTTGCCTAAAAAATTAGGGGATTACTAGATGTCCCTACAGTAAGAGCAGGTGAGTCAGGATGACAGAGGCATGTTAACACGTCACTACTTTCAGGGATTGTCCTAAATTCTCTGAATAGATTCACAAGTCCTCAGAACCACCGCATAAAGGAGGTTCTGTTCTGATGCTCATTTTACATAATACTGAGGCACAGGGATGTCGAGTAACCTTTCCAGGGTCCCACAGGCTTTACACAGCCAGTCTTTAAACCTTTGTGCCCAGGCAGTCTTACCCTAGAAGCTGGGCTCTTAATGTTCATCTTGGTTGAAACTGTATTTGTAGGGGCGCCTGGGTGGCTCAGTTGACTCAGTGTCCAACTCTTGATTTTGGCTCAGGGCACGATCTCACACAGCTCGTGAGATCAAGCTCCACATGGAGCTCTCGGAGCCGTTTCGGACCTTCTGTCCCCCTCTATCTCTGCCCCTCCCTCCCTTTCTCTCTCTCTCTCTCTCTCTCTCTCTCTCTCTTTCAAAAATAAATAAACATTAAAAAAAAGAAACTCCATCCTTTTCTCTACATGCCTTCTCCACTGCCTCTCTGACTCCCATAATAGCCACTCATCCCTGTTATTTACTCTGAAGACTAATTTATTGATTGATTTTTGTTTTTAATGTTTATTTTTGAGAGAGACAGAGACAGAGCACAAGCGAGGGAGGAGCAGAGAGAGAGGGAAACACAGAATCCAAAGCAGGCTGCAGGCTCCAGGCTCCAGGTTCTGAGCACAGACCCCAACATGGGGCCCAAATTCACAAACCATGAGATCATGACCTGAGCCAAAGTCAGACGCTTAACCGACTGAACCCCCCAGAGATCCCCCCCTTTTTTTTGAATGTTTGAAGACTGATTTAAATCTCAGACATCAACTCAGACGAGGACTGCTGTCTACCTCTGGGTCGGCAAAAAGATCCTCAAGGCCTTCCCAAACCACAAAGCTACCTCACCCTTCTGTGAGAGATCCTGCGCACATGTGTTTCTGTCCATTATGAACAGGTTAGGGGATCAGGGTGCCGAAATCCTACGTCTCACCGCCTGTCGGCTCCAGGCCGTGGAAGATGAAACTTACAAACGAGGGTCACTACTCGACACTGGAAATCAGTAGGATGTTACTCAGCTGGTGGGCACTCTGCCCGTCAGGGCTGTGCCACGGAGCAGCGTGTGAGGAGGGCCTGCTCACCCCCCACCCTGACGCTGCCCGCTCATGCACCCCGGCCACTCTAAGACAGGAACCGCAGGCCTTTGGCCCCCTCCACTCCCCCCACCGCCCGGTTCCAGCACCAGGGAGCCGGTTGTGAGC